CTCTCTCTCTCTCTCTCTCTCTCTCTCTCTCTCTCTCTCTCTCTCTCTCTCTCTCTCTCTCTCTCTCTCTCTCTCTCTCTCTCTCTCTCCAACCCAGGTATCTATCTATATGCCTCCTTTCTCTTCCCACCTCCCTTGTGACCTCTTCTTGCCTCCCCCCGCTCTCCCCTTTGCCTAGTTGCAATTGGCCCTGGCCTATGTATGGAACAGCACACAATACTATCTTTACCTACAATCATTTCTTACCATCCCCCTTGTTTTCTCCATATTAACTACAATGATGATAATCTCGCACAGGATGTGTCGCTTGTTTGCTACCCCGTTCATTTCTTCAAGCTTCGCAAACGCCTCATCAACTATTGATTTTTTTTTTTAATTTTTTTTTTTTAATTTAACCACCCATGGGAGCTAGGGGTGCTGGTATGAGCAGACTCCTCTATCTGCCCCGGGGAGGCGCCATCTATTGGTGGGGAGCAACACCTGCTGGAAATAGTTGCTGAACGCCTGCCAGCATTGATTACCCTGAAGACAGGGGATTGACTGAGCAGGAGGATGTGTGTGCAAGTAGGTTGGAAAGAGGGGACTCCTCAGCCATGCTGCCAGGCGCCTGAACTATGCTGCCATCTAGCCCCCGTCCTTCCTTGTGAATGCAGCTCACTCTGTTCCATACCACTGGAGGTGGAAAAGGGTCTGGGAACTCCGACTCATCAACTATTGTAGCAGCTGCAATTCGCGATGTTTGCAATATGCAAGTGCGAGTGGGGAAGTTCCCTTTTCCTTTCTTTTGTTTTCAAACAACACTTGTCCACAAGAGGAGAAGTTTTACAATTACAGGGTGTCAAGATTTGTGAAAGCGCACTAGAATTTCCAGTGCTGAGTTTGTGTTTGACCTTGGCCATGCTTGGTATCACACTAGATGTTTCGTCAAGCTTGGCGATTGGGGGAATGATAAGCGCAGGGCTAGTGGAAGTGATGCTGCAGATCAAGACGCAACCGCGCTATGTATTGGCCAAGGTGAGTTCAACGTTTAACATAAGGTAAGGCCTTTTTTTTTTTTTTTTTTAATAACCCAACGTAACGTAAGGCCAAGAACTGTGCAAGCCCATCAAGCATGTCGAGATAGGCATAAGGGTGATGAGTCTGATGACCATACACAGTAGGACACTTTTTTCCAAATATGAATTCTCTTAGATAGTAAAGCCTAATACATCTTCGTGACAATGGATGCGTGCATCAAGCATGACAAATTTGCTGTGACCCCTTCCCGTAGACACTACGTAATAATGCCTCCCCATGGTGCTCTCCCTTTTCCCTCCTTGGCTGTGGTGCACTCTCCACGGTTGTTTTGTTGCTTCAATACTTGTTTGCTTTTCATTCTTTGGTTGTTTTGTTGCTTCAATACTTGTTTGCTTTTCATTCTTTGTTCCGATTTCTAGTGCTTCAGTCTTTTCTTTGTGTTTGTTTTCTTTGTTTTCCTCTTCTCTCCTCTTTTCTTGTGGTTTGGAAATGAGGACTGGACTGCATTGTCTCCTTCTTATATGTATTTTTCGCTGGGCAAGGTGAACCCTACTCATATGAGACATCGTCAGTTGCGTATCGACCATTGATCCTTGGCACATGCTGCTGAAAGGACGTTCATACTGCACCTGCTGAAAGTATCATCCAGCTCGGCCTAATGAAAAGAACGAACGTGATAGGGAAGTATGTTCGTACTGTGTCTTGTTGGTGTGCAGGGTGGCATTACCTCGGCAGAGATTGCCACAAAGGGCCTTGGAGCGAAAAAAGCTCTTGTCGTTGGCCAAGCGATCGCTGGTGTTCCTCTGTGGAAGCTTCGTGACGGCTGTCGGTTCCCAGGAATTCCATACATTGTGTTTCCAGGTCTCTCTCTCTCTCTCTCTCTCTCTCTCTCTCTCTCTCTCTCTCTCTCTCTCTCTCTCTCTCTCTCTCTCTCTCTCTCTCTCTCT